AACCCCCAACTTGCTGCACTACAAACTCTGCCTTGGCAACCCCAAAACATGCAGTTTTGTAGGCCTTACCGAACCCTAGAAGTGGGTTTAGGGTTTCGGGATGCTTAGGGTTCGGGGTTTAGCGTCTATAGGGTTTAGGGTTGGGTTTAGGGTTTAGGGTTTAGGGTTTAGGGTTTAGGGTTTAGGGTTGAGGGTTTAGGGTTTAGGGGTCTTATACCAATAGAGACAGCAGCTTGACATCTCAGGGTACAAAGAAGGCCTGCCGACCAGAAACAACTGGCACTCGCTCTAGCCCCCTGGTAGGGCGGAAGCCTGCTGGTAGCGGCCGCCAAACCAAAAGAAGAACCTGAGCCCATGGCAAGGGTTCTTATTCCTAGCATCGCCAACGAGGCACCCCATGCATTCACCCCTAAACCCTAAACCCTAAACCCTAAACCCTAAACCCTAAACCCTAAACCCTAAACCCTAAACCCTAAACCCTAAAGGCCCGAGCCCTATATTTGAACTCAACAGAGCTTAGCCTTCATCTGCCTACTTCTCAGCATCTGCCGGGGCTGCCTTTTTTTTTTTGCAGAAAGCTCACCGTCATGGGCACTATGGTGCTTGCAGCCTCAAGCCCGAAGCGTGAACCTAGCGCCCTGGACCCAAACCCGAAGAGCCTGGTTCACAGCACGACAATGCAGCAAAACCCCAGCCCTCAAGCCACATAATACTTATAGCAGTAGCAGTATGAAAATGCTACGGGGTAGGCCGACCCTCCGAAACCCTAAACTCTAAACCCTGTACTCGTGGAAGGTGCAAGAGGAATTCTGTTCCCCAGGCAAATCAAATCCGAAGCCGATTTCAACCCTAAACCCCAAACAGTGCAGCTGCGGCGCATGACCCGCCAGTAGGTCAGGAGCACCGGAAGCGTCCTTGCGAAAACGTCAGCTCACGCAGGCCGCCCGTGGAATCTGGGCTCGTCAAACCCTAAACCCTAAACCCTAAACCCAAAACCAAACCCTAAACCCTAAACCCTAAACCCTAAACCCTATTGAAAAACCCTTCTGCAACATTCGGCAACCCGAGCACAAGAAGCAACCTGCAAGGAGGCCCTGCAGCGAATCTTTCATAGATCAAAACCCTGACAGCCGTGTGAAATTTGAAAGGCTTACAACTAAGCCCTGTATGTAAAGTGATTTGTCAATTTGCTTACATATGTATATATTATATAAGAGCCTGTAGTCTGCATATGAGAGAGAGAGAGGGGGATTACGCAAAGACACGAGCAAGCACTTATGCCTTCAGATGCTGCAAGGGCGCATTCTACCATAAGATATCTGCTCAAAGCACATGTGTGTGAGAGCGCAAATTGCAAGCACCGTCCTTGATGTTAGACATGTTCGCTTGCGAAAAGGCATACCGCACGCACCGTTCGCCTAATGTTCTCCAGGTTTTCTCGTGCGAAACAACACATCGCAACCACCAACAAAAACAGGAGATTAAAGCAAAAGCAAGCAGTGCTCCTTTAAGGGTGGTCTACGTTGCGCAAACTGCTTGACAACATTGTTTACCAGAGCCACCCATTTATCTCAATCCTCTCTCACCGCTGGCATGAGCATGAAGGGCTTTGTTGCCAAAATGTATTACGGTCAGCACAGCTGATCTGAACTGGCCAGAAACAAGCACATATGAACAGCTGCGCTCCGTTGTGACCAGGCGAACAGCTCGACTTGGCTCTTAATGCGAATTCGCCGCGGATTGCGAGGGTGTTCGTCATGTGCTGAAAGCGCAGACGGCGTGTAAGCAATCAAGCCGGATTGATGACCTGTCGATAGATTTCCATGTGCAGAGATAGCCTGCAGGAAGCCATCGAGCCTCCCGAAACCCCCGAAGCCTAAAGAACCCTAAGCCTGCCCTTGCAACAACGTCCTCAACACAGCCAGGGCGAGGAGGGCCAACCCCACCAGGAGCAGGCCTGGCTTCATCAGGTTCTCGTGTTTACAACCGGTTTAGGGTTTAGGGTTTAGGGTTTAGGGTTTAGGGTTTAGGGTTTAGGGTTTAGGGTTTAGGGTTTAGGGTTTAGCGATCAAGACACGGCATGTCCAAAGGGTTTCATCACAATGTGCAGGGTGATGCCTGACGCACGCGAAATCAGCGTACGGCTAGGGGTTGATTGAGGCCGCTTAAGTTCTGCTGCACGAGGCGTTCCGGCAGAAAGAGCAGGTTGCGGGTCGATTGCACATGGCCACCAAGTCCGGTCGTAGCGTCTGAAAAGGAGCAACTGCAAGTGCAAGGGCCAGTCCAACTCAACCAACAATCTCGCGCTCTCCAAGCTCCCGAAGACATGACAACTGCCTCTAACAACCCAAGGGCAGGAATTTGTAAACCCTGAATCCTAAACCCAGGGTTTAGGGTTTAAGGTTTAGGGTACTTATAAACCCAGGGTTTAGGGTTTAAGGTTTAGGGTTTGGGGGTTTCCTTGGGGCATGCCAAACCCGAAACCATGCCCGCGCGCCGCCGACCGTCGTCTTGTCGGGAAGCCTTTCAAAACACACAGGCCAAATCTGATTCCTCGTGAGTTTCGAAGCTGGGAATTACGCATCATGCTTCACCCCTAAACCCTAAACCCTAAACCCTAAACCCTTAACCCTTAACCCTTAACCCTTAACCCTTAAACCCTTAAACCCTAAACCCAAATCCTAAACACACTAACTACCTGAGGGGCGGCTTTGAGGCGGGCGTGTACCACCCATGGCCATGACACCTGGGGCTCAGGACACCTCGACCCTCATCCTGAGCCCAAACCCTAAGGCTCCAAGGACTCTTATTTAAGGGGCTTAGGGTTTAGGGTTTAGGGTTTAGGGTTTAGGGTTTAGGGTTTAGGGTTTAATGTTTAGGGTTAGGGATTCTTTTGGGGCCCAAAGGCCGTATGATCCAAGGATTTTGGGGCTATTTTGAGGGTAAGGGTTACCACTTGGAGCCCGCCAGTTCCCCCCAACGCCTCAGGAACTTAATGGGAGGGTGATATTTTGGCTTAGGGTTTGTGGGAGGGGGCTCCGATATGAGAACTGAAAAAATATTTGGGGGTAGAACTTGAGGGGTCCAACTTTCAAGGGGTACGGCACCTCCTCTTCTGATCAAACCCTGAACCCTGAACTCTAAACTCTAAACCCTAAACCCTAAACCCTAAACCCTAAACCCTAAACCCTAAACCCTAAACCCCATCCCCAGAGTTCTTCCCAGCCTCACCCTGGCTGGGGCCTTGGAAGGCGCGCCAGCCAGGAGGGCCACTGCCAAAGCCACCTGGGCATCTCTGCCCTCTGCTCAGGTTTAGGGTTTAGGGGTTTAGGGTTTTAGGGTTTAGGGTTTAGGGTTTAGGGTTTAGGGTTTAGGGTTTGGGGTCTAGGGTTTAGGGTTCAGGAACATGCTGGGGGATTCTACAGCTTCTACCGTCCGAACTTCAGGAACTACCCCCTTTGGTGGGGAACCTCGGAGGACCCTACGTATCCGGACAAACTCCATTCCTTGCTATGACTTTAGCAACCCTAAACCCTAAACCTTGAACCCTACATCAAACCCAAACCCTAAACCCTGTCAAAGACACGACGGCTCTTGGAGATTTGGGAGGGGATTTGGGGGGGGGTTCGTACCCAAGCCCTAATGATAAAACGTCAAAGGTTCGAAGCTCAAACAAATTTAGGACATTACACCTAGCGAGCAAGAATGCTTGGGATGGTGATCTGAAGCAAGGACATCACACACACACACACACACACGCACACATGGGCTTACCTAAACCCTGGCCCTAACCGCTGAACCTTCCATGTTGGTTAGGCCCGCTAGAGATCGCGAAGCTTTTGGAAGGGAAAACCGCGCTCTGGTTATCTTTTCAAATTGGACGACGCTAGGCAAAATGGCACGAATCAACCCATCCCACCCACCCACCCACCCACACACACACACACACACACACGACGACTCTGAATGTACTACGTCCCAAGTCCTGAACCTTCTCAGCTTCTACAAGTCCAAAGGAAGGCCCAAGGGCAGGCCCCAGGGCTCCCTTAGCCCGGCATTCCGAAGTCCTGGCTGAGACCCACACCACCAGGAGCGGAAGCCGCCGGCGCGTGGAGAGGCGCGCCATGGCGTCGCAGGCCCAAGAAATAGGTCCAAGGGAGGCGGGATGGGCAGAAAGTAGTCCAAGTTCAGCTAAGAAGGGCCTTTCAGCCTTTGCCTGGCAGCTTACTTTACGTTCAAAGGTGGGGGAAGTGCTGGGGAAGGCTCATGATCTGGATTCTGGATCACTGCGTTCCGGTGTAGAGCCTAGCAGATACCAAGCATGCACGAGATTTCCGGGTCGAGGTTTAGAGCGTTGGGCTTTCAGATCCAAACAGTGGATCTTCGGGGCTTCGAAAGGCTTCCCGTGCTCAGATCCCAAGTTGCAAGACTTTTGCTCCTCTTTGTGTTCGGGCGCGCCTCAGGGCTGTGTGAGCTGAAGATCCGGAGACCCTGGACGACTATACTTGGCCATAATGCTTACTGAGGCTATGGACAAAATGCCCTCTTAGGGTTCATGTAGTTTTCAGGGAATGTCAACAAGATGTCCCAAGTAACCAACGTGGTAGCCCAGAGACTAGGGTACACGAGAACCAGAGGATGAAGCGGGCGGGCGCAATGTTCGCGGCGCAACAGAACACGGGCCATCCTGCTTAGCACCGGCGCCGAGATGACATAAGCATGTCTTCCGCCTCTTCTCCCATGATTTGGCACGCGCCCTCCAACGCTCAGCACTCTCGCCCCATCTTCTCGCACGCTCAGCACATCAACCTGCCGTGGCCAACTGGCGAGGGTTACGCAGCATGTCGCCAGAGCCCCGTCTGTAACAAGGCCTCGCCCTCACGATGCTCCACGGCCGTCATCGCAAATGCATAGACTTGAGGCAGCTAGCAGCTAGCTGTGGATCGCGACAGGCATCCGGAGGCCAAAGGCACCCAACGCACCCCCCAGCACAGTCCTGCTCAACAAACACAGCTTGCGACGCCTGAGACGAACGCATGCTGCAGCAGCTCGTCAGCAGTAGCTCGTGCTTCTGGCTCTTGAGCCAAGCAGCGGGAAACAAAGTTGTTAAGCTCAGGGGCCATGGAGACCGGGGGGACAGAGCCATGTTCTACCGCAGACCAAAATTCGTTGTCCGACTTGCAACTGGCAAACGCGTTGACGCCCTGCGCAAGTTCATGAATGGACACACCCATTGCCCATACGTCAGCAGCGAAGCTGTAATTCCCAAAGAATCGCTCGGGAGCCATGTAAAGTTTGGTTCCCACCATGGTGTCGGCATAATCCTCTTGCTGCTGCAACCACTTGGCGATGCCAAAATCGGCAATCTTGACCTGTCCCTGGCTGTTGTGGAGCAGGTTTGGGGGCTTAATGTCCCGGTGCAGGATTCTTAAGGAGTGGAGGAAATCCAAGCCAGACAGGATTTGACGTGAGTAGATGGCGAGCGTCTTGAGAGGGATTCTTCCTGCCAATTGACCCAAATCCATGAACTCCAGCACCAAGGCCAGCTTGCCCGAGTCTTTGCAGAAGAGCGCGGCCTTGAATCCAAGCAGATTGGGATGGCAAGGCACAGAAGTAAGAGCACGAATGTCCTGCAAGAGCTGCTCGCACTTTTCGGTGTCTGCAGCCCGCACCTCCTTCACTGCAACGACCTCCCCAGTGGAAGAGAGTTTGGCCTTGCAGACAGTCGCGGAGGCGCCAGAGCCTAGCACCTCGCCAATGTGAAGCGCCACATTCCCATCAAGAAACCACGTCCTTGGGAGCTCCCACACCGAATTCACGCCTACCCAAAACAAGTCAAAAACTCTGGCTGAACGTGCGAGTCAAGTAGCACGTTTGCCGCTGGAGTTTGGCCTGAAGACAACCTTTGCTCCGGTGTGTACTGACGACGTAAGCCCTCCTCCATCAAGCGCAAGTCTTCTCCATCCTGAACAGGCGGTCTCCAAACCTACTGCATCAGTTTGGAACATCTTCTGCTACTTCTTCACTGCCCCGTTCCTCTCATCCGACACCCTCCCTTCGCACGGTCACAGCACGCACCTCTACTTGCATTGCAGGTACCCCGCAAAGGTCTCACCCCTGAACATTGCAGACCAGCACTATCCCAGCAGTTCTCATTGGGCTAAAACTGAGAGCAATTGCCGGAAAAACTCCTGCGAGACCTGAGAGGGCTCATGCCTCAAGAAGGACTGATATTTTTTGGAAGTGCTCTCGAAGCTGAGGCCTCGTGATTTGGCCCACGCAGCTTCGCACCACGTGTCCACATCCATGCCTGGCATCTGCGACATTTGAAGCAGTAGAGTCAGTGGAGGCATCAGGCTGTGCCAAGTCATGGCAGTTGCACAACTCCTCCAAGTACTGCCACTGCTAGGCAAGCCGTCACAGCAGCTTTGATGCCTGAGCACGGGAGATCTTGCAATAACACTCAAAACAATCAGCATGGTCTGAGAACATCACTGCTGGACTGGGGCAACACAAAGAGTGCCTGGGCTTCTGGGGCTCTAGCTATGCCACTCACCCAGTCCATAAGCCTCAAAGCACAGTCTGCGAGCTCGACATCGACGTATGACGCATGCCCCCCCAACCCCCCACACCCTGTCACACCCCGCATTGGCAACGAAACCCTTGTTTCCGGTCCTGACTCAGCAGGCTGGCTTCCTTGTCGGTAAGCGGTCCACTCGGCCTGGGAAGAACATCATTCTTGGTCATCTGTTGGGCCGCGCGAATGCTGGGAGTCAGACCAGTCCAGTGGCTCTGAAATCAATGCCATCTATCTGCGCGGCAAAAAAGCAAGGCAGCTGCTGCCAACGCCTGCTGAACACTAAGGCTCTTGAAAAGAAGCGACTTGAGCCAGTCCACGAGACACGAGGATGATCCTTGGGTTTGGCGCGCACCAGCGCGACGAGCAGTAACTTTCTCATAGTAGAACAACACAGAGGGCGCCCCACAAGACTCAGCAACGGCAGCACAGCCCTGAACCCTAAACCCTAAACCCCAAACCCTAAACCCTATAAACCCTAAACCCTAAACCCTGAACAACAGGGTGTCTTTTCCTCTGCGGCTCGGTAGGTGACGGGATGATCCTCGTTGCTGACCTTCCGGACCCAGAGAGCAGCCAGGGCACAAGGTTTTTATAGGGTTTACTTGCTGTGAGTTTAGGGTTTAGGGTTTAGGGTTTAGGGTTTAGCGAAGTTCTTGGCACTTGGTAGGGAATGAGGGAATTAGGGGCCTGTAATACCCTTTAAGGGATTATAGGGTACCTCATTCCCCCATGCCCTACTAACCTTCAGGGCGTATAGGGTCTGCAAGGTTTGGGGTTTAGGAAACCTTGAAGATCTCTGAGGGCCAATACAGGGTTTGAGAGCTTTTGTAGGGTTCACAGCGGTGTTGAGGGGTCTTCCATGTTTCTAAATTTTAAAGGTGCAGCAGGCCAGGGGCTTCCGAAGTTATCGGGGATGGGCCGGCGCATACGGCTTGTCACAGGCTCCGGTTTAGGGTTTAGGGTTTAGGGTTTAGGGTTTAGGGTTTAGGGTTTAGGGTTTAGGGTTTAGGGTTTAGGGTTTAGGGTTTAGGGTTTAGGGTTTAGGGTTTAGGGTTCGGGATAGCTTGCCGGCTGGGATGTGCGGCACAATTGGGCACGTCAAGAAGACGCTACAAGGCTCAACAATAGGACAACAAAGGACTACCCCCTAAACCCTAAACCCTAAACCCCAAACCCCAAACCCTAAACCCTAAACCCTAAACCCTAGGATCGTCTGTCTTGGTGTCATCTTCAAAGAATGCCTACAGCATATTCAAATGAGGAATGGACAATATTTCTAGACCCACTTCAAAGTATTTGGAAATTCCTCCATTGACAGCAGCATCGATCATTCCATTGAGAGTCATCGACAAGGGTCCGATATCGACTTTGCTATCTTCGCTCTTGAGGACATTTTCGATCTTGTCGTGAAGCTCTTTGTTCTTGTCAACTATAGTACTTACGGCGCCATCAATTGGAGAAATCCAAACCTCTTTTCGGCTGACCACGGGAATTGATCCTTGGTTTCAATGAATGTTTGATGTATCCAAAGATCCTTGAACTCATTCGTGGGCTTCTCCTCCTTAGATCTTGATACGGCCTTTTTGAACGAGAAGATCTTAACGTTGTTGTGGTTCTGGTAAGACTCGATGTTCTTCGGGATACGTGAAATCGCTCTGCTACTTCGTCTCGCTATTCCCAACATTTCACTTTGCGATGATGGTAACAGAGAAACCCTAAACCCTAAACCCTAAACCTACCCCCCCCCCCCCCCCCCCCCCCCCCCCCCAACAACCCCCACAAGCTTGAGTCCCGAAGCCCTCAAGCAAGCCCCCCCATGCTCTCAACCTGAGAGCTGCCCGGAAACCTTACACCCCCCCTCCCCCCCCCGCCACCACCAACCCAAAAGCACAAGAACAAGAAGGATGATGTGTAGTAGTAGGTATACTTGATGCTAATTAATAATAAAAAAATGGTTCTGCTTGATGCTTATGATAGTCATTGTTGATGCTGATGATCACAACAAGAACAATGGAAATGAGCACGCCGCCCTCCAAATTCCGAGAGCCCCTGAAAAGTCTGCAAGCGGTTTTCGCCTCGCCATGCTCCGCCCTCGCCGGCGGGTCGTGGAAACCCGGCTTTGGGGTTGTGCGGAAGGCGACCTGATGCAGATCTTTGTACGGGTCTGAGAGCTTCGAGAATTCCTACTGAAGCTGGCTGCTAGTTCATTCTTGTGATAAAACTAAAAATATGCATCTTATTCCTTATTGGGTTTAGGTACCCTTGAAACATGTAAAATGTTCTAAACCCTAAACCCTAAACCCTAAACCCTAAACCCTAAACCCTAAACCCTAAACCCTAAACCCTAAACCCTAAACCCTAAACCCTAAACCCTAAACCCTAAACCCTAAACCCTAAACCCTAAACCCTACCCAACTATGACAAAGGTTGGGGATGCATGTTGGGGGGGCGGCGTTTTGAGGGCGCGAGGACCGAATCTACGGTGGAAGGCTGGGCATGCTCTTGCTTCATGCCTTTGTCTTACGGTTGGTTTGTTAGGGAATAGGGGAACGAGGTGCCCTACATCATCCCTTAAAGGGTATATATATATATATATAGGGCCCCAATTCCCCAATCCCTGCTAACCAGCAATACGTTGTGCGCTTCTCCGTCCTACTTACTGGCCCAAAACCCAAGGAAATAACAGTTGAAACTTCAGAATAAGCCGCCTTAAAAGAAGCCCAAAAGTTGAAAAGTTGGGCTTGCGCCAGTAAGCCTACATGCCGTACTAAGAAACCCAAGAAACCCCAAAAAACTAAGGATCTAAAGCTACAGCGGAGCCAAAACAGCGAAAGTTCCCAAGCACCCAGCGTCAGCAGGGACGAAGTGGATGCCCAGACCTCGAAGACTTGGTTTAGGGTTTAGGGTTTAGGGTTTAGGGTTTAGGGTTTACGGTTTAGGCTCGAGGCTACGCGAACTTCGTTGGCTCTGGGAGTTCTCCGCTGCCTTTTTTCGGGGTTCTTGGCACTGCGACGCCGTGTTGTTTCGGGACTCTTGGCGCTGCCAGGCACAAGCTACATGCGAGTACTTCTTTCGACCTTTGTACACCCCAAGCCTTGCAACAAAAAAGGGTGTCACTTCAGTTTTGTGCGAGCGCAGCCCTGAGCCACCATGACAGCCTTGTTGCTGAGCACCCAGGCCCAAAAAGGGTCAACCTTCGAACTACTCAGCTTCGAACTACTCAGCTACTAAGACAACCACTTCACAACCCCCGCAACTTCGCGGTCCTCACTCCTCTTAGGGCCTATAGGATTTAGGGTTCAGGGTTGGGATGTTCCCCCTTTTTGCTAAAAGTCCTTTCTTGGGATTACAGTACCCCCCTGTTATCTTCCCCTATGAAGGGCTGCTAGTAGAAGGGGGAGCATCCCCAGGTGCAGGGTTTAGGGTTTAGGGTTTAGGGTTTAGGGTTTAGGGTTTAGGGTTTAGGGTTTAGGGTTTAGGGTTTAGGGTTTAGGGTTTAGGGTTTAGGGTTTCATCCTGAGCCGTGCACCTCTGCGGCAATTCCGCTGGGACTTGTTGTCCCCAGAACCTCTGGGCGCCCGAGGGGGTCGGTGCTTTCGGCTAGGCTGGCAGGCTGCCCTAAACCCTATAAATCCTACCTCTGGAGTAGACCCAGACAAAAAAGTATATACTTTTTAGGTATAAGTAGCTATAATGGGAACCCAAAACCAAAAAAAGTATTAAAGTATAGCACTCCAAAGCCCAGAAGTTGGGATGTTCCCCCTTACACTAACATATGATAGGGGGGGGTACTATTAATCCCTTGTCAGGGCTGTTAGTATAAGTGGGAACATCACAGCCTCTAAACCTAAACCCTCAACTGCCCCCCCCCCCCCCCAAGAAAAGAAAAAAATGTAAACCCAATGAACACGATGAGCCCTAAAGAACCCTGAAGAAGCATCAACAAACCCCCCAAAAGGACCCGAAGGAAGCACCCAAACTCCCCAAACCTTGAACGCCACATCAACCATAAATACACAACCCCCAAGAGGACCCTATACTACTATTGGGTACCTTTTCTTAGTTGCCCAATACCCTGGCCCAAAAAAGTTTAAACTTTTCTTGTAGTAGGGGTTTAGTATACCCAAAAAGTTTAAAGTCCACCTAGTGGGCTCCTAAGTTTTGGATCCTCCCAGGGGTCTGGGTAGAGGTGCCTTGTTGGGTGGCCTCAACGACTCAGGGCGCGACCATGCCAAGTCCGGCCATCATGAATGCCAGCGCCCCCCTGGGGCACCTGGGTTTGGGGGTTTCGGTTTGTGTTTTTGGTTAGGGTTTGGGGTTGAGGGTCTAGCGTGTAGGGTTTAGGGCTTATAAGGCTTGGGGTTTGGGGGTCGGGGCTGGAAAGTCAACAGCTTGCAAGTTGCTCAGGGAGAGGCGTTGCACTTTTTGTACTTTACATACTGACTCAGGCCTGCGCCCGGAGTCTCAGGTGTAGTGCTTCAGAGACTTGGGAGATCATGACATCTTTGCAGAATTACGCAATTGCCAAGATCGCGGGGCCACAGTCGTCAAGCTCCAAATTTCGGAAACGTACGAGGGTCTGAGGAGGGCTGCAGTTTCTACAAGAGCCTTTCAGGAGAATGCCACGAATCGATCCCCAGAAGGGTGCGCTTTTTTGGGGGCCCTTTTATGTTACTTGTTTTGGTTTTTTTTTTGGGGGGTTCAGAATTTAGGGTTTAGGGTTAGGGTTAAGGGTGAAGGGTGAAGGGTGAAGGGTTCAGGGTTACGGGTTAAGGGTTTAGGTTGAGGTTTAGAGATGCAGGTAGAGGTTGTTCTCTGGTTTTCCTCTGTTTTCTTCCAGAAAATAGGGCCAAAAAAAAAGACAGTAATAATTCCCTGCTCAGAGGCTAGTTCATGGTTGGGATAGTATTCAAAAATGGCAATTTATCTTCCTTGTTGGGTCTGTTGGGTTCAAGTACCCTTAAAAATGTAAATGTTACCCAACTATGACAAAGGGGGGAGTTCAAGGGCCCACGAGAACCAACGAAGCGACGTGTGTTCCAAGGCCCCGGGCCAGGACGGGGACGAGCTCAACCTGCGCAAAAGGCTTCAGGCTTGAGGGTATTTAGCTAAAACAAAAACAAATGAACAAATATACATATATATATATATGCTCTGAATAGACAAAAATATGAAGATGTAAGTAAAAAAATAAGTAAATAAATAAATGATATATACATATATATGTA